GACGACGCCCTGATCGGCTGGCGCGCCTCCGAGGCGGTCCCGGATAACGCCGTCGTGTTTGAACTCCGCGGCGTTCGCGAGGCGGTCGAGTTGGCGGATCTCTCCCCCCACCCGTTTAATCGGGAGTGGCTGCTTCCGTTAGGGGCGTCGTTTCGCGTGCGGGCGGTGGAAACGCTCCCGCACCTCAACGACGCCCTCCACGTCGTGTTGGAGATGCGTGGGAGTTTGGCAGGGGCGGTGGGGGATCCGTGGATCCCCGAGGCCGACGCCGCCGTCGCCCGCGTCGTCGTGAAAAAGGTCCGGATGGAAATCAAAAACACCGAGGCCTACACCGCGGCCATGGCGCAGTTGATTTATCTGAATATTCGACTTCAGGATCGCCGGCAGCTGCACCCCCCGACGCGGCTTCGCGCGGAGTATCAGCAGCAATACCACGACGTCAAGCGCAATTCCATCGCGAAGCAGACGACCGAAAACGGCAGCGTCGTCTGGCAGGTTTGCGTTTCGCCCGCGCAGATGTTGGAGGAAGGGGTCGTGAAACCCGCGGTGTGGGAGGCCGTACCGCGAAAATACGCGGCGACGATCGAGTATTTATTTCTCGGCCGCTCCAGCACCCAATTCACCCTCGAAACTGGCGGGCTGAGCGTGAATCTCGTGGATTACACCATCGATTACGGCGGGAAGGGTCCTCGGCCGCTCCGACGGCTCGTGAATCGTTACATCACCCACGAGGCGAGTTTTCCGAAAACCTACGCGCAGCTCGTCGCGGACGTCGAGGCGACCGCGCGGCAGCTCGACCACCTCAACGCGAAGCTCAACGCCCTTCAAAGCAGCAGTCTGCGAAAGCGGTCCACCATCACCTCGACCGTCAAGAAATGAACGCAAAGGGGAAGCACCAAAAATATTTTAAAAAAGCGCGAACGAAATCCGCATCGGGCGCGAGAGCGCGCTTCGCTTGGCGCCGCCCTCACGTTGTCTTTTTGGATATTCCCGTTATCAGACGCGAAGGAAGTTGGAGGATTGGGGAGGAGGGCGTGAATATCATATCTTTCATAAGGAAGGAAAAGCCATATTGGTACGTATAAAAAAAATAGAGATCTGCATTCCTAATGGATGATGCTGGGGTGAAAGGCTTGGAGTTATGTAAAAGTTGATTCGCGAGGATCTCACACGGCCTCCGTTTCTTAGTGGGAGGAGAGGGGGGGGGGGGGGAGATACTCTGCTCAGTTGTTTCGATTTGCTTCAAAGCGATAAACCTCATGATGTAAATTTTCATTACACAAACTTCACTCAAGAACAAACAAAAAAAAACGTGTGGGAGGTTCCGTTTCTCCGCGGAACGTTCTTCCACATCCGAGGAGGTTGTATCGCCCTCCTGTCTATCACGGAGGCGTCGTTGTGTGTGTAAATGATCCCATTTTTCACTCATTTTTTTTCTTTTCATTTTTTTTTCTTTTCGAGGTGAGGGGATCCTTGGGGTTTCCATCCATTCACGTCATTACGTCTGTTTTTTTTTTGTTGTTGTTGTTCGCTTCTCCCGAATCCAAAAGACCTCGTGGGGGGTTCCGATGCTTCGCCGGCTGTCCGCGCGCCGCCCGTGGTGGGTGAACGGGGGGTTCGACCCCGCGTTGTCGACCGCCGCGCGGTGGATTTTCGCGGATAAAATCCGCGCCGGGATGGTGCTCAAAGTCGACAAACGCATCTACCGCGTAACGGCGAGCACGCGCTCGCAAAAAGGCCAAAACGCCGCCTCGTTCAACGTCAAACTCGCGGAGGTGGGGAGCGGGCGGAAAAAAGAGGTGACGGCCGGGCAAGGCCACGACTTCGAAGAGGTCCGCGCCACGCGGGTGCGTCTTCTTTTCAGCGGCTTCGACGACGACGACGCCGCGTGTTTTGTGTTCCCCCAACACAGCAGCGAGGCCGGGCGCGAGATCCTCCTCCCCGCGAGTTCGTTGCCGGAGATTCAGCAAAATTTCCTCTGCTGCGGGATGCCCGTGGACCTCCTTCGCGTCCTGCCCGATTCGGATAAGCCGGAGGAGAGTGAGATTTGGATGGAGCCCGTGATGCCGAGCAGCTACGTCTACACCGTGGAGCGGATTACGTTAAAGGGGTTGTATAAAATGGCGTCGTTGGTGGAGTGCGATGGGGTGATCAGCGTGAACGATTCGGTTCAGATTGGGGAGAAGGTCAAGGTCGTGTTGAAGCCCGACGGCACCGCCGCCTTCGGAGGACGCATCACGTGATATCCAGGAGAGGCGTGGAAACGAAAGCAAAATCCTTGTGGTGGTTGCTGTTGTGGTGGTTGGGAATGGGAGAGAAGAGGAGATGTGAAGGTTTTGGGGTTTGCATGATGGGTTTCCCTGAATTGGTGGGGGTGGGGGTTTGGGCCTCATAATCAGGCTTTATCGAGAAAAAAAAAGAACCCAACCATCATAATTGCGAGATGCCTCCGCACGCCCTCGATGGGGGGAGGTGAAGGCAGGGGAGAGTCTACTGATAGTTATGGATGTGAATGAAATAGTTTAAACCTCGATATTCTTTTTCCTCATCCTTTGGCGTTTTGTCTTCGTCTGGGGTTTTAGTAGGTACCGGTGAGGGGTAACAAAAAAAAGTCAGTCGACCCCTGTTTTTTTTTGATTTTTTTCTTCCCTGAGCGACTCACGTGATTCGAACGCACGGCGATGTACGCGCGCTACCGCACCCGTTCTCGCTTCTACAAGCGCCCGGAAAAGGTGTTAAAGGCGTACAACGTCTCCCCTAATCTGCTTCGCCGCCCGATCATCAAGAAAGGCCTTTTGAACGGGGTTTACACCGACGAAACGGTCGACCTCCGCGATCGCGAGCGGCTGGAGATGCTGGAGGCGATCCGCCATCCTCGGGAGCGGGATTTCTACCAAGACCACACCTACCACAACCAGTGGGTCTCCCGAGAATTGGAAAAGCACCAGAAGAACGATCTCGCCTCGCGGTATCGCTTTTTCTCCCCCAATTATGAAATCTCGCCGTGGATATGGTATCCGGGGGATTTGGTGGAGGTCGTTTCCGGCGAGGCCGCCGGCCAACGCGGGGTGATCCTCGCGGTCGTGAAATACGCGAATCAAATCATCGTGCGCGATATAAACGTGCGGGATGTCGTCATCCCGGCCTCGGAAGGTCGCCCGGAGCAGATCCTTCGACGGGAGCACCCGATCCGCGTCACGCGCGTTCGCCACGTCGATCCCTCGACCGGGGAGCTTTGCCATCTTGAGGAGGTCTCGATTCGCAATCGTCGAACCGGGGTGGAGGAAAAATCGCGAGTTTGCGTTGAATCCGGCGTCCTGTTGCCCATCCCCCCGCGCGAGGACGACCTCGCGGTGGGGGATCCCCTGAAAGATACGCCGTTGATGGATGCGGAGGAAATCACGTACGACGCCGCGGCGGAGCTCCCTCGCCTCGTGGAGGCCCGTCTGCACGCGATGGAGACGTACTTCGTGGGCACCCTGCGCGAGGCCTACGAGTTTCACCACCCCCTCCGCGTGGAAAACGGCGAGGCGATGCGGGCGTTTCAACTCGCGGTGGTCGAAACGGCAGCGGAGAAGCTCGCGCGGAAGATCGCCACCCCTTCCGCTTCTTCCGCCTTCTCCGGCGAAAACGACATCGAAATGGAAAAAAAAGAAGAAGAAGAAGAAATGCCGTCGTGGTGGCGAGAAATGGCGGCGCCCTACGTCGAGCAATTGGCGGAGGAAGAAGAGGAGCAGCGAAGACGCGAGGCGGCCGCGGCGGAGCAGAAAAACCGGGAAGAAGCAGCGGAATCCTTCACCCCTCGCAACGACGACGAGGAGGAGGAAGTGGAGGAGATTTCGAGCGAAGAGGTGGAAGAAGTGGAGGAGGGGGAGGGAGAATAGGAAGGAGAGAGGAGGGAAAGATGATAGAACGAAGGCAGCGTGGTGCGCTCATTTAAAATTGAGAGGAACGATAACGGGGATTCATCGTCCCTCATATCCAAGGGCGAGGTGGAAGAACTTGGTTTCGCGCGTTTGAACAGCGGCAAGGGAAAAGGGGGGGAAAAAGAATAGCGTCAGCGCGGAAATCACTCCCATGTTTGTTATCTTATTGGCATCTGTTGCACACCGTCTCAGGGAGGGGGGTCTTTTCGTTTGCGAAAAGAATGGCCAAATGTACTTTCAGGATGATGTAATTGAAAACTTGGTTATTTCTTCCTCCCCGCTTTCCCTGGTTTAGATATACGAACAACCCATTAATCCAATCTAATAGGCTTTTCTCTAAAGCTCATCTATCGCCTCCTCGTATCAAAGGAGGAGAAAGGGGTATCCTAAGTAGGTGGGGTCTGTTTCATTTACATCCCCACGCGATGCCCGCCGAGGAAGGCGAAAAGCGGCGGCGCGTCGTTCCCGAACGCCCCTGCCCCCCCACCTCGCCGGAGGAAAAAGAAACGCAAATCCGCTCCATTCTCAACGCGATCGAACACCTGCGGGAGATTCAATCCCGCGGGGAATTCATCGCCCGCGCGGAGGTGGAGCAGCTTCGGGAAGCCTTCACCTTCGCCACGGGCGGGCAACCGTCGCGTCCTTCGGCAGGGGTCGAAACCCCCCATGAGGAGGTGACGTCCATCGCGGAAATGACGGCACATCGCCTTCTCATCGCCCTCGAACACTACGCGACGTCGAGGGCCGCCTCTTTTGCTCAAAATCCGCGTTCGGGCGGTGGTTTCGGGTATGTTTACGCCACCCTTCGCGATGGCTGGATGTTGCTAATCGAAATGGCGGTGGTTTCGGTGTTCAACTTCTTCCTCGCGGGCTCCCTCGCGTTGCTCGCGACGGGGTTTTTCCTTTATGGTCGATATACCGCGCCGTGGATGCTCGCGTATCTGATTTACATCTTCACGAAAGGTCGACCTCGGTTTCCGGTGGCCAAACGCATGGGCTTCGCGCGTGCGAGGATTTGGCGATATTATCGCGATTACTTCCCCACTCGTTGCATCATTCCTGCAACGGTGCGTTCGCGATTTGATCCTGCGCGAAATTACTTTTTCCTTTATCACCCCCACGGGGTGGTCAGCTTCGGGGCGGTGGTGAACTTCGCGTTGGATGTGAATCGCGCCTCCGAGGCCCTCCCGGGGATTCAGATTCACCTCCAGACGCTGCGATTCAATTTTTTCATCCCCTTTTTTCGAGCGGCGTTGCTCGCGACGGGCGCCGGGGATGCGAGCGCGACGACGATCCGTCAAACCCTCCGCGCGGGGGCGGGGGAATCCGTCATGGTGGTCCTCGGCGGCTCCGAGGAGGCCGTCGTTTCTCGACCATGCACGAATGACTTAATTTTGCGCAAACGCGCGGGATTCGTGCGGATTGCGTTGCAGGAAGGGGTCCCGTTGGTGCCCGTTTACGGGTTTGGCGAGAACGACGTCTTCGAGCACGCCGAGATCGCCGACGCCCCGGTGATCAAACGCGTCGTTGCCGGGGTGAAACGCTTCACGGGGGTGGCGATTCCGATGTTGAAAGGCGCGAGGTTTCTTCCACGCCGACGGCCGATCACGGTGGTCGTTGGGGAGCCGTTGGAGCTGCCGAAAATCGAAGCCCCCACGGACGCGGAGATTGATTTCTGGCGGGAACGATATATCGACGCGTTGCAAAACCTTTATGAAACGTATCGCGTCGTGTATGATCTGAAAAGCACCGGTTTGCGCGTCGTGATGTGAGGAGGGGTGGGGGGGAAGAAGGCAAAGCAAGGAAAAAAGGAAAAGGGGCATTCACACTAAACGTCATCCATATCGGGATGTTGCTTTTACCTCGGTGTGAAGTTAAACTAATAGATACACACCTAAAGATATATCAATAGCTTCCCATGGTTGGATGTTACGCATTCCATTTTCACAGTGGTTAGGGATAAACACTTTTCTTTTCGAAAGAAATAAAACGATTTTAGGGAATCTTTATGTCCACGCACTTACCTACCCGGAACTCGTGAAACGACAGGATACTCTGGATGAGTGAAACGTGATTTTGAGCTCACGAAGCTATATATACTTAGAGAGAAGTAGGGATGACGCTATGGGGCCTGGAAGACGATACCAAACCATCTTTCTCCTCCACATAGGGAAGAATAAAATCGTATTTTCTTGCGTCGAGAAGGTGAGAAATCTTGGTTTCTTCCACTCACCACAGGGAGGATTATCTAAATGTTCACCTCGCAGGTGCTGACGTAGGTTTAAGGGGACGTAGTAAACAGCGAATGCTTGAATATCGATTTAGATAAATAAATCTAGATTGGTAGGGGTTCCCTACGGCTTAAGAATCTTTTATGTTTCTATCATTTTACTCCTAACCCCCCCAAAAAAAAAGAATGAAATGGACTAATCTGCTGAATCCGATTCTTTTTTAACCTCTCTGTTTCGAAAGCTCTAGTGTGTGATACTCATAATATTTTCGGCTTCATCGAATCGATTATTTAACGCCAGAGAGAGATCTCGCGCAGTAGATATGGTTTTCTTCGCCACCTACAAATCCAAGCGGATTTTGCCGCCGTCCTTTCTCATGAAATCCGTCACACGGGCGCGTGCGATCACGGAGTTTTACTGGCATCGTGCGTGGAATGGAACGCTCATGTGGTTAATCCCCGGCGATTTTCGTATCTGGGCCTTTGCCATTCCGATTGTTTATTTCTTCCACCGATGGCATAATGATCATATGTTAGAGCACGACTTCTGTGAGAAGGCGATGATTAAGCGCTGGGGAGGCACTTTAGATGAGGTTCGGAAGCTCTCCCCGCAGGATCAGCTCCGCGTTCGGAGCTTTGTGGAGTTGGAAAAGTATTACGCCTCGTACGGGCCCAGGGATCTCATTGTACAACCCCCAGGTGATCCCCTTCCCGGGAAGGATTACTATCAGGATAATGCCAACCTGCATCATTAATGTTGCCGGTATTATACATAGCAAAGAAATACAATTTAGTGGATTCTTTCTCTTCTTTTTTGTTTGTTTGTTTGTTTTAGCTGCTTGCTTGGCGTGCGTGCGCGCGTGGGGGGATTTGGGGGTAGGTGGATGGTGCACACGCCTCTCAGGTGCTCTCACGGGGTGGTCTACGTTTCTAGAGACCGGCAAAGAATGTTCAAGACGAAGAAAAATGAAAAGAACCCCCCCCCCCCCTAGCAGGATGTGTAGGTGACTGGTGTTATCGAAAGGAAAGTGGTGGATCCTGTAGTAGTGAATTTGACAAAAAAAGGAAACCAAGATAAAAATAGCGAAACGAAGCCCTTTGAGAGGCGCTCGCTTTCTCCGTGTGAGATATCAACACCTCACTTCGATGGTTGAGGTTGATGTGCTGGACTTCATCTCCCCCTTCTCTTCCCGTTTTCTTCCTTCAAAATAGGTTCCAGTTAAGAAAATCCGCGCCCTAAAAAAAAAAATCAGAGAATCCTCGCGTTTCGTAAGCCCTTTCGGATTGTAGTCTTTTTT